ACCACCACAGAGGCGCTGACTTGTTCACTTGAAAACTCATTTATTAACACCACAAAAAAAGCAGCTTTACATGTGAGGTATATGACGTCATTTGGACATTCATGGAAATACACACAAATTCACAAAAGATGCAAACGGCATCTTTTTATTTTTTTAGTTTTTTTTAAGCACCATGTTGTTGGTCCACAGCAGCAGTGTCCAGGCGAGTGTGTTGGGTAAACACCTCATTTCTGTTATGAGTCACTGCGTGTCCTGGCGAGTCCACCGTGTGTTCGTGTGACTCAGCTGGAAAGTAAGTGGTCGCTCGTTCGACACGAACCGAAGCTCCTCCACGCAGGGCCCCCTCGCCCGGGGAGCTCTCTCCACTCGGGCCGGCCGGGGATCATTCCCGTCCCGTGACCGTCGACGTGGCCTCCAGGCCGCTTCCAAAGTGTAGGGAAAACAGCGCTCCATGTCCCGTGGAGCCTCCGCGTCTCGCACCTCTCAGCAGGCCGGTATGACCCGGTTCAGGGAGAGCGAGGTGAGGGACTCGGCGGGGCCGATTCGGCAGCTGACCGGCGGCGGTGGCGGCAGCGCGGCGTGTCGCTCCTCCCCGGGCTCCAGCCTCGCCCTCTTACTAGGGAGGAAGTGCGGCGCCACCGACGTCTTCCCCCGCCGCTTCCTCGAGCACCTCGTCGGGCTCTGGTTCTCTTTGTCCTCGGCGGGTTCTCCCTCTTCCTCCCGGTGCGCACCTCCCCGCGCTGTCAGGCTCAACTCGGCGGAGGTCTCGTCCGGCTGGGGCCCCGACTCCAGGTCGAGCTCAGCCGGCTCCTCCGGGCTTGTGTCCATGGGTTCGGCCGGTGGCACCGACGAGTGATAGATGTCCCGAGCGGAGCGCATGACCAGGGAGAGGAGGAGGCTCCGGTGGAGTCTCAGGCCGCCTCGCTGGCTCCGGGACGCGTACAGCTTGCTTATGGACACGGCAAGAATCCGCCGGGCCTCCGCATTCACCTCCATTGTTGTCTCCGTTGTTGTGTCACTCATTGTTTCCTTGACCTTATGTTACTTCCTTGTTGTTGTTTTTTTCCCCCTTACACAAAACGACCTCGACGGACGACTTACGAAAACAACAACAAAAAGTTGACTTTCAAAAGTTTCGTTATCGGTTCTTTTTATTTCTGTAAAACAAACCTTCTTCACGTTCACGACGGCGCAGAGTTGAGAGCGTGAGAGGCAGGGAGACAATTTATCTACTCTGTGACGTCACGCCGAATTCCTCAGGCAGTGACAAAACAGGCACCGCCCACACCTGCCACACACAAACACGCTCACACAAACGCATGCACGCGCGCACACGCCATCTGTTCTGTCTAGCCCGAATTCTCACCCTTCTCGACTTTTAACTTCTCTTTCCGCATTGCGCTTTAGGAACGCATTTCGCCTCGAAAGATTTTTAAGTTATGATCGCAAAAACAGTTGTGTTATTTTCAGGTTAGTGATGATTAAATGACATGTAAAAAAAAAAAAACATTAAATTATTTAGTCAAAGCTGTTTTCGCACGATAACGACGGGAGGCTGAGGTTGAATATGTTTTAGATTACTTTGAGCAGGGATCCAAAGGATAGTTTCGCTGAATGATGTCACGTGTTTATCTTCTGGTTACTCGGCAGCTCGGAGAATTTGCGTCTGGGTGAGGAAGGAAGAAACGGGGGGGGGACGTCTCAAATTTCACGGGAGTTTCTCTCGGGCGCACAGATGACTCACTACGTCACTCCCCTGCCATATATGGCCTATCCGGTTGTAAAGTCCCGTCGTGGTTGTGCAGAGGGGAGGGGGGAATACGTGCAGTGGAAAAGCGGTGACGTCACCACCCCTCCCCCAGTACTCCTCTGGCTTCCTCCTCCCTCACCAGCTGTGGTAACGTCACCAGAGCACCATATATGGTGAGACGGCCGCTGTAAACAAGGTTACCCAGGTTACCAGGTGGCGGGTCAAAAGGCAGTGTTCGTCATGACGCCTTAATGGTCCGTCGGAAATGATCTATGTTACAACTGGAGTGCGTTTAAAAAAAAAAGTGCTCTATAAATACCGTTAAATTGAGAGTGTTGCGATGACACACTTCAGGCGCATTTAATCTGAAGTGGTAAAAATACTCTATACTTCTAAAAGTACAGATACTGTATAAGAAAAAAAAACTACGCTGGTAGAAGTCATGATTCAATTGCTTGTATTTAAAAATGTTTTTGGTCAATAATACCCTCGTAATAATTGTGGATATCAAATTAGGAATTACAGATCTTTCCAAAATGTATTCTCAACCTGTCTGACATTTTTATGTTTTGCACCATTCGCTTTTGGATCAAAAACATGTTACAGGTTGAACGAATTATAGGCAGCTAATGTGTGATGACATGGATATTTTTAACCCCTAACCATAACACAGTACAGAGGTCGCAAACCTTTTTTTGCGCCAGACCTGTTTTACGTATAGAAATGTTTGGATGGACAGTCATACAAAAAAAAAAAACAAAGTATTAAAAATGTTTGTATTTTGCTGTCAAATGTCAAAAAGGGTTAAATATGACCCCAAAAGTATCGATCGATCAACTTTGTGATGTCACCCAAATGCAGCACGCTAGTTTATGTCTTCCTTTCCAGACGTAGCTGCTCCTATCGTTGCATTTTGGTATGTATGCTATCCCTCCGCACAGCTGCAAAAATAGACACGCTAATACAAGCCACCGCAACACGTGTTGTGTAAACTCACCCGTAGCATTCGGACCATCACCTAAAGCCGAGCTATTTTGTACTTGATTGGTATTATTGTAGGGCCAAATTATTTTCAAGCAACTTGGATCATATCTGGTTAATGCTAATTAGAACATTATTTCATGTATTTGTAGACACCCCCTTGAAAGTGCATCATCGTAATCATCATAATCATAGTTTTTTATATTAGTCAATTATATTTTTCATTCTTCGAACTTATTTTGTAATTGAAATTTCCAATCTCAATTGTTTTTTTATGCCCGTTGCCGGGGGAATGATTTTGGTTTGTTCTTTATTGATATAAATTTTTTTCCATATGTTGTAGATGTTGTTTTTACATTTCATAAAAAAAAAAAAATCTGTTATTTTCTTTTCCGTAATGTTTATTTTTTGTTGTTTTCTTCGTTTTATCTTTTAACAGTAAAATTTGTTTGTTTTATTGTGAATTATATGTTTGGGTGTCATTATTCATTTTTACACGCTTATTTTTCTTCGCTGCCTCTGCATTTTTTTTTTTTTCATAAATGTAAATTTTCTATGACATTTGTTTTTCCCATTTGTGGATTGTTCTTTTCAATGTAAATATAGATTTTCCAATTTTCCATGTTCTGTCAACGCAATTCTTACTTTTGAATGCTGAAAAGCGCTTGTTAGCTTCCCAGAAAACGAGTCCCCGTGACCTCGCTTTGGGCGGGCGCCCGGCTGGTCACTATGGCAACGCTGTGTGTGTGTATGTGTGTGCGCGCGCGTGTGTGTGTGTGTGTGTGTGTGTGTGTGTGTGTGCGCGCGCGCGTGCGCGTGAGTGTGTGCGTGTGTGTGTGTGTGCGTGTGTGTGTGTGTGTGTGTGTGTGTGTGTTGTAGCATTGCCTCTGCCTGAGGCCAAATGGTTGGCAAGGATTTTTTGTGTGTGTCCTTGGCTGTACCATCACCTAAGTTCACCGAGTGCGATGGTGTAGAATAGTTTGCACAAATGACTTGTAATCGCACTTCATGGTATTTCTTGAAATGTCACGCGTGCTCAGCTGCAAAACTAACAGCCGTTCCACTTATTGCATCGGCATGAAAGTGCGCTGTTTTTGTTTTGCTCATGTACATTTCGTTTGTTTTTGTGTCGTGCGGTTTGTGTGTAAAGCAGCTTACAACGCAACAAGGGTAAGCTGCATGACGATGCTGCTCTTTGACACCGGAAAGTAGGTCATCCATACAAGGAACACTTGGAGACACCAAGAGTGTCAGCGTGTCTATTTATAAAGTGCTCCACGTTAAGTGCTCACTCCTAGCGCCTTTTTTTTTCTTCACTTGTTTTTATTTTTATTTATTTTTGTTGTTCCTCAGCGGCAGCGCGTTTGACTACGGTGGCACAGACAAACAAAGCAGCCCAAATGTTATCTGGCTTGTACGAACAAGAACGTTCGTGGGGTGAGGAATGATTCAGAATTCACGTCTTTGGTTGTCAAGGATGAGAACAAACTCTTTGTGCGGTTTGGAATGTTGAGATTTTTTTGGAGCTAAATTAATTTGCCGCAAAGGTTTCTGCTTGTAGGGCGGCGTGGTGGTCGACTGGTTAGCACGTCAGCCTGTGTGGGTTTTCCCCAGGTTGCCTCCCACATTCCAAAAACATGCATGGCAGGTTGATCGGGCACTCCAAATTGTCCTTAGGTGCGATTGTGAGGGCGAATGGTTGTTTGTCTGTGTGGCCTGCGATTGGCTGGCGACCGGTTCAGGGTGTCTCTCGCCTACCGTCCGAAGAGAGCCTGGGATAGGCTCAAGTGTCTGTCTGTCTGTCTGTCTGTCTGTCTGTCTGTCATAGGCAGCCTTAACTAAACTACACACCATGAGCAGCGGGGTGACGAAGGGGCCTGTAAATTCTCACAAGCCAGGATGGGACGGGAGGAGGGGGAGGAAACAGGATGAGGGCAGGAAAGGAAGGAAGGAAGGAAGGAAGGAAGAAAGGAGGGAGGGAAGGGTGGTACGGAACACGAATGGTTGGGGCCACAGATGGGTGGGCCGGACACGAGGCTGGGAGGTCTGTCTCTGTCTGGTCAGATGTTGCTTTCAGGGACAGAGCGGAGTCACATTTAGTTTTATGCGAATGTGTGGCCATGGTGACTTTTCGCGTCTACTGCTCGCTGATTAGACTTTGACAAGCCTTCCCAGAAGTCAATACAAAGTAGAATATATACATATTAAATAAGTTACTCAATGAATACCAGAGACATTCATCGATACGTAAAAAGGTGTCCAAAGTGCACAATGAATCTCAACGCCTCATCACGTCCAATGCGCATGCGCGGCGGGGTGACGCACCCGGAACTAGCAGCATGTCGCTGGAGGACCCGTTTTTCGTCGTGAAAGGGTGAGAAAACTCAACAGAACAACGTTTAGAACTCAAGGAACACGCTGTGCAAGTACACGTTCGACACGTGTGTCACTCGGCGAGTCGCCGAGGGAGCAGAAAACACAGTTTACTCCAGCGAATGGAACTGGACGCCTAGCAATGGCTGACTAGCCTCCAATGCTGTCGCCCAGTCCTGCAGTGATTGTCCGTGCGGGGCTTTTTCTGTTTACATTGGTCAAACAAAGTTACTTCCGCGCGGCGTATTTGCTTTTGTTTCATCTGCTGAGTTATTTGTGGACCAGAAGAACGGTTTATTTTCTCTATTTTTGGACACTTCACGAGAAGTTGCTGATTTACGAAAGAAAGTTAGCTTGTGTCTTAGTTTGGATTTGTCGGTTAAAAAAGTGTTCTAAAAAAGAAGCAAGTGACGTAATGTTGGACAAACGTGTGTGCGTGTGTGTATGTGTGTGTGTGTGTGTGTGTGTGTGTGTGTGTGTGTGTGTGTGCGCGGCGCGTGCAGGGAGGTACAGAAGGCCACTGCGCGGGCACGCAGCCTGTTTGACAGGTGGGAGGAGCTTCTACAAGATGGAACTCAGGTGAGCTAAGTATTAGCATGTTCTTAGCATTGATAACAAATTATTCTGTTGTCATCACCATACGCTCTTTATGGCCACGGCGGGTGGCACACTAGCATTGCATTAACATTCACACCATGTTTGATAAAGCATTGGAAACACTGAAGTTAATACCACATTCAATGTCCAATCACTTCTCTGATCTCCTCACGTTAGCATGAAGTTGGCATTGATGCTAATTGATAAATAATGAGCATATTACAATTCATTTGTTCAGGTGAGTCGTGATGAGCTGGATTGGAGCACCAACGAGTTGCGCAACTGTCTGCGAGCCATCGACTGGGACCTGGAGGACCTGAGCGAGACCATCAGTATCCTCCATCACCTGCGCCACGTGTCCTGTTTGCAAAACAAACACCAGCTTTGTGCACTTCCAAGAATTTGTCAGGCCCCAAAGCAATGTCAATAATAGGAGTTGTTCCCAGTAAGGGGCGAGAAAGTGGCGTCGTCGTTTTGCAGAAGCAACTCAGATCACGAGGAAAATAGTTCAGTTTTAAGAGAATAAAAGTTTAACGTTTGGGAGAAAAAGTTGTCGTACTGTACTAGGAGAATAAAAAGAGAATAAAGTCATGACTGCCACAAACTATTTTGGTGAAAAAGCACATTACAATGAAGAGCACAAGGGAGAAAAATCCTGACTTGAAGAGAATAATTGTAACATCGTGAGACGCAGTCACAATATCAAGTTGTACTGTTCTGACTGGAAGAAAAACTTTAAACATTAAATAAGAATGAGTTTAGAATTTTGTGTGGGGAAAACAAAAATTTTGTGGCAGCTTGCCACATTAAGAGAAAAAAAGTTTTTGTTTACACGATAAATTACACAAAAATTTTTTTGTAGAGTAAAAGTGGAGAAAAAAAAGTTTTGCCTCACTAACGTCAGTCACAATATTGCAAAGACAAAAAGCAAAAACAGTATCACAAGTATAGTATTTCATTTGACGAGGATACTAACATAAAATTGCAAAAAAAAAAAAATCAATTTTGCGAGAATATCCATGATCCAAGCTGCTTTTCCTCGCAAGGCGTGCCAGAGCCTATTCCAGCTGTTTTCGGGCAGTAAGCGGAGGACACCCTGAACCGGTCGCCAGCCCATCGCAGGGCACACATTGACGAACAACTATTTGCGCTCACAATCACACCGGGGGACAATTTCGAGTGTTCAGTGAACCTGCCATGCAGGTTTTCGGAATGTAGGAGGAAACCGGAGAACCTGGAGAAAACCCACGCAGACATGGGGAGAACATGCAAACTTGCAATGGGAAGGCCGGAGCCTGGAATCGAACCCTACACCTCTGCAATGTGAAGCGAATGAGCCACACTCTGATAAGAATCTACTTGTGAATCTTCAACTTGAAACCATTCCTAGAGAAGAAAAAAAAATCTGTGTTTTGAATGACTAAGTTGCAGTTTTGTGAAAAAAATAATTCAACATCAAGTCAGAATTTTGCGACAAAGACTTATTTTGAAGAAAAAGAAGGCCTAGATTTACAGGATTGTGAGAAAGTCAGATGATGATAAAACAATCTTACACTTCAAAAATGAATTCATAATATTGCGAGAAAGTCAAGCCATGACACTCACACAAAAATCACAATTTTACAAGAATACGGAGTTGAAATGCCAAAGTTTTTTAATATGATGACCCCCCAAAAATGTACATTTACGAGAGTATATTTTTCAGATTGGGCACAAAAAAAAACTCACAAGAAGGCGAATCTGATTTAGCGGTACTGTCCAATGTTAATTTTGTTAGGAGAAAGTCTTTATTTTCAAATCACTGCTCTGAACGTCCTGACAGCATGGAGATTAGATGGTCACCATAGCGACGGGGGAGACACTTCGTAGCTCATTTCCTTCCTGAGTGTGCGGCGCAGGTATCGTGGAGTCGAACCCGGGGAAGTTCCGCCTTGGCGATGAGGAGCTTCAGGAGAGGAGGGATTTCGTGGAGAAGACCAGGAAGTCCGTACAGGTCAAATCAACAACCACCCTCCAACCGGCTCCCCACCCCCAAACAAAACTGATTATTAATCGAAAATCTGTATTATTTCCTTGCTTGTGAGCAGGAGATGAAGGATCAGTTGTCGAGTCCATCGGCTGCGGCTCAGGCAGAGAAAAAAAACAAGCAGGTTGGACAGACGAGTACCGAAGCCAGATGACATACGGACACGTACGTCATTCTTATGCTCATTATTATTATTTCGAAATGTTATTGTTCATTGGTTCCAGGCGTCGTTCGCTCCGTCAGCATCGGACCGGTCTATGCAACTGGATGCCCACCTGGTGTCCGCCAATTCCAGATACATTCAAGATCAGCAGGAACAGCAGCAGGTAAGACAGGCACACCCAAAAAAAAAAAAAAAACAACCTAGGAAAAATTGTATTTTTGTGGGGGGGTGTAATTATGTTAATAGGTAGATATTTTGTTTTCTTTGTCAGAAAAGCCATATTTTTCATTAAAAAAAAGTTCAAAACAATGACAAGACAACACACTTTGAATTTTTTTTTTTTTTTTAAGAAAAGAAAAAGAAATTCCCAATGTTTTTTTGTCCTACTTTTCCCAAAAAGAAAATAAGTCCTAGTGTTAGGAGACTTATCAAAATGTTACTCTTATGATGACCAAATCCTACTTCTGAAAATTAAGCTCTGTTTTTCGAGAATAGAAGTCACAATATTACAAGGGAAAAAAAATCAGTCTTGACAGAATTTGGCACAAAGAAAACTCACTGAGAAGAAAACATCATGCTATCAAAATAGTTTTTGTGAAAATCATAAAAAGAAAGAAAATCAGTTTTGAGTCAGTGCAGAAAAGAAATCCATTTTTTTCACGCAAGTCAGAATTTTTTGAGAAAACGTCATCTTACTCGCGGGAGGGTAATATGTAATTGTGGGAAAAATTATGATTTTACAATGTTTCAAAAAGACATTGTATTATGAGGAGTCAAGTGATAAAATTCATTGATCATAAAATTGCGAGAGATGAAAAAGATTTTTACAAAACTGGTAAAACATCGAGTGAATGAGATCACGGGGAAGATTTTAACATTGCAATAAAAAGTCATCTGAATTACATTCGGAAAAGGTAAATTGGTGCAAGGACTCAAAGTTTAAAAAAAATTAATAGATTTATTAAATTGGCATTTTCTTTGAAAAAGTTGCAATAATTCTACGAAAATTGAGGTCATAACACTGCAATTCAGGAGCAAAAAGTTGCAAATTTTATTGCAATAAAGCACTCATTCAATCAGGAACACAATCGATATTATGATCAAAAAAATTATAATAATAATCATTTCAAGATACAGCCCTAAAATGACAAGGTTTGAAATGTCTCTGCCTTGTTTTGACAGGAATACATTTTTTCATGTTGCAAGAAATACAGGCAAGACTTGCTAAAAAACTTGAGTGACACTGGCAGTGTAAAAATTGACTGGTGACACCTTATTTTTTTGTTCCTCTTTTTTTTTCCATTACATCATTCTTGAAAGTGTTTTAATGTGGAAAACCCCTTGCAGCCTCACCGCTCTCGCTCAACTCACCTTCCGTTACATAAGCATATTTGAATCTTTTGTTTTTTTTCTTAATGCATTCCAAAGCCATGAACTGGAACGTTTGAAAAGGGCTGAAAGTTGGTGTGTGTGTGTGTGTGTGTGTGTGTGTGTGTGTGTGTGTGCGTGTGCGTGTGCGCGCGTGCGTGCAGCTGATTATGCAGGAGCAGGATGATCATCTGGAGCTTGTGTCCGGAAGCATCCGGGTCCTCAAAGACATGTCGGGACGTATCGGTGACGAACTGGACGAACAGGCCGTGTGAGTCAAACTCGGCACTGCCGCTCAAAATGTACACTCCTCCTCCATCTTTTTTTTGGGGGGGGGGGGCTCCTTCCAAAAATGCTGCTGTCTTCCCCCCTCCGAGTCAGAAAGGCAACACCATTACCCGTATCCTTTTCTCATATTTCGGTAGAAGCGTCCCACCCCGAAAGCATTCTCATTTACTAGTCAGAATCAACCCACCAGAACTGGCACTTCACTTTTGCTGGTCCGAGTCCGCCATATTTCGTGTTCCCTGTTCGGTTGGGGCGTACGTCAGCATGGTCCAAAACAATATTTCCTCAGCAAAATGTAAGAATAGCATTGTCATTTTACAACAAAATGTTGTAACAAAGTGCCTGGTCGCACTGTTTGTATCAATGTAATATATTCTGTATACATATTTGTTTTCATCTTCACTTGTCCTTCCAGCATGTTGGGGGACTTTGCCGACGAGATGGACCAGACGTCGTCACGTATGGACTCTGTGCTCAAAAAGATAGAGAAGGTCTCGCACATGACCAGCAGTACGTAACGCGCGCACACACACACACACACACACACACACAGATGGCTTTTGACAACTGCCTGTGTTGTGGGGCAGGTCGGCGGCAGTGGTGCGCTATCGCCGTGCTGGTCGCTATCATGATTGTCGTCCTCATCCTCTTCTTCGCCCTCTGATGCCGGCGACCCCCGAACTCTTCTTGACTCACGGGACCCACAAAGGACTGGCCAATTTTTTTCTTTACCCCTGGGCCCGAAGAAGGGAAAACTCCGCTGGCTCGCGCTGTCCGGTAGAAATCGAACGCATGTGGCGCAGTCAGGTTGTGGCTTCGATCAGCAGAGGGCGCTCTGGTAGGAAAGCGCCACACGCCACAGCAGGAAGTTCAAGGTTGAGACTAAGCTTGTCTTTTTTTTTTTTTTTTTTTTTTGTATACCAGCAAAAAAAGTCATAATTTCGCAAGACAACAAATTTCAAACAAATGTCTAAATATTGGCAAACACATTTTCACGTTAAAAAATACTCTGGAAGAAAAAAAAGATTTGAAACTTTTCGAGAATAAAGTAAATTTTGGAAGAACGCCTTAGTATTTTGAAAACCTTCTTTTCTGAGCAAAAAATTGTTAAATTACGAGAAAACTTGTAATGTTTTGAGAATCATAAATGTTAAAGTAGTGCAACAAACCCATTCATCAGAATGGGGCGGTGCAAAGGGTCTCTCGAAAGTGGCACCTCATTTAAATTCAAGAATCTTTAAGAACTGTATGCTTGTGATGGTTATTATTGATTGTTACAAAAACAGTGTGAAAGTGTAGGTGGGAGATATAGATATTTTTTTCCTCCACCCTGGATGCCTTCAGTCTATTTTTTTTACATTTTTTACGTTGCTGCGTTCTTGTTGCTGGGCAGAATGTCCAAATATAAAGCTCAATTTTTACATTTTTTACGTTGCTGCGTCCTTGTTGCTGGGCAGAATGTCCAAATATAAAGCTCAGCGCTCCCCCTACTGGGGGCCGTTGTTACTGCCATTTCGTTCAGCGTGAAGAATAACAATAATAGATAAGACAGTGTTTCATGTTGTACTAAAACATTTCAGTCCTTTTGTTGAAGGTCAGCTGTCAACAATCATATGCATCAAGTGGCAAAATGTATTTAATCTTTTTTATTATATTTTACGTGATACCATTTTGACAATTTTCAATGTTTTAAATGTTGGATCGAAAATAAAACGTTGTGAGCATCGTCACGTTTCTGCACTTTGCTTTAATTATTCTTTTTTTAAAGCCCAACTCAGGTTTGAAACCGTACTTTGATTGCATAATTGGAACCTGTAACCCCCGTTTGAAACCTCAGAGAAAACTGAATCAAGTCTTGAAACCTTAATTTAAAATAGAAATATTGGCTTGAAACCCTTTACTGACACCATTAATCTAGCCTGAAACCCTAAATGTTGTTGAAACTCTAACCGAAGCTTGAAATCCTAATGTCTAACCCTACCTTAAAGCCCTAACCAAACATTGAACCCCAAGTTTGGTACACTACTTTGAAGGACTTAACCTGCCTGGAAACTCGAAACTATGTTTTAAACCCTACTCTGTAACGCTTACCATGGCTTTAAACACCAACTGAAGCTTGAAAGCAGAACCCTATCTTGACACCCTAACTTGAAACACTAACCTGAAATATTAACCCTGGTTTGGAACCCTAAAAAAAACCCTAATCCGGGTTCGAAACCAGAACCCCAATTTGACACCCTAACTTGAAACCTTAAACCAGCTTCTATGTAGTTAAATTAGTAATTGACAGTTTGATCAAGCCACAAGCACACCATTTTTTGTATCCCAACTTTTTTATTCATTTGCATTAAGTAGCAAAACATCCAAAAAACAAACCAAAAAAGAGATTAAAATGAATTGGCCGGCCGTCTTGGCTCTGTTTCGTTGACTTCATGTACGGTTTGTGTCCGATCTGGCTTTGTGGCCACCCCTCCTCTCGGTTACCATGGCGGCGACATGGGCTGAGGGTTCTGAAGATACGACATGACCACAGCCGAGATGGACAACCTGCACACCAAAACCGGGACGTTATCTCATCAGCAAACAGGGCAGATGTGACTTGTCATAGAGTTGTGGGGTAAGTTTTAGACAATCAGAAGAAAGAAGGTCATTCTCCAAAAAGAACAACTTTTTTCGCAAGGTGATGATTATTCTCAATGGCAAATAGAACTACTTTTCTGCCAAAATATTAAATGTAGCCGCCCGGACTTTTGTGAAATACTGCTTGGTTGTCATTTATTCCATGACAAGATGGTTGCCGACACCCGTCCTCGGCGAGACCTTGAAGCAATGTTGGCGAGTGTATGGCGCTGACTGGGCAGCCTTCTCCACTGTGTGAGTGACTTTTTCCACTATGACGATAACGCTGCGGTGTAATTAAAAACCTTGTAGCCTGTGCGTGCGCTCACATAAAGCTGCTCATCATCTGCTTGGTGTCCTCAGAGCTTCTGGAGTTGGCGAAGCTAATGAAGGAGCAGTAGACGGCGATCCAGGCGCACCACTTCAGCTGCCAGGTTCAAACAAAAATGACATTTCATTGGCTATTGCAGGGATTGCAATCGTGTGTTGGAGGAGGAAAACATCTAAAACATGCGGGATAGCAGACCTCGAGAACCACAGCTTCAGGCTAGTGAAATGCCAAGTAAAGACTGCTTCCATTTATTCTGATGCTTAACCAGGATTCTGTGTGTGAACGTGAGTCGGTGTGTTGTTTTCATGTATGTACTTCGCGCGTCTTTGTTTGTCTGCATGCGTTTGTGTCACCTTGAGCATGAGTCCACACATGCTGAAAATCATGCCCAGCAGGTTCATGTAGTCCGGAGTGGGGTCCTCCAGTGTGGGATTGGTCTCCGTGGTGGGGGGCTTGTACCTGGCACAGGCATTAAAGAGTGTCTTCATGTGCACGTCGGGACATATGGATTTTAGGTGACATTCGATTTCCAAAATGACGTCAGCTGACAGTTATACAGTAATCACTTTAGGACCAGCTCGGTTAGCCACCGTTAGCATTTTTAGCTAGCAGGCTGGTTGCGAAAGCCTAGAAAAACATAAAAAACTCACCGTAATATCTTGTTTTGTCTCCTGGGATCCGCCATGTTATTCGAGGACATTGTAGTTACAATAAAAGTGCCTTTTCGGTGAAAAATGTTTTATGAAGTTTTACAGTAATTGTAACTCATTTCATCGTACATGACTGGATGGACTTTAGGTGGAGAGTTAGAGGGCGTTTCCTTCGCTCTTCAAAATAAAACCAATCACGACGAACGGAGTCAAAGACTGGAAAGAAACGGCTTTCGAGCCTTTTATTTTGAAAAGCAGCCAATAACCCATGAAGCATATCTGTCCTAGCGGAAATGACGTCGTAATAGTTCCTCTCCAACCGCAGAAGTAGGGTTTTAGTGGATTTGTTGTGCGTTTATAATTTTGTCATCGAATAATGTTTAATTGCCGCGATTTAAATGAAAGCAGCAGCACATTACCACGTTTCGCGTAGTTTTTTACGCCAGAAAAGTCCCCGCAGCCATTAAATTCAAGGAGATAAACACTGTAAATCTACGCTTCAAAATTCAATTTGGAACGTTCTAAGTCACGACTTTTGAGTAAGTACATTCTAAACAATTGTTTGCCTGCAAATTCATTAAAACCGTTTTAAAAGCATTTGGCAGCGACGAATGTCTGACAAGTACTGGAGAGCTACAACTGCACTTTCAGGGGCTACATGGCAGCAGCATTTTATATTTTCAGGCATTTCTGGGATTGAAGTTACTAAATTATGCCAAGTATATATTGGGAATCAAAGTAATATTGCAAAAGATTCTAAGATAAAAAAAAAAATTAAAAAAAAGACTATTCTCGTTTTGTATTTTTCCCTAGACTAGAATAACACTGGATGCAAGAAGATGACCGTTGCTCAAAAATATTATAAAAATATTGAAATAAGAGGACTTTTCCCTGACTCAAAATAATTTTAAGATTCTACAGTAGTTGCATCATTGTTCAAATTTTTAAAATGGTGAGATTAGGATCCCCACCCCAAAAAGGACATCGTCTTTTTTCTTCCCCATATGTGAAATAATGACTGTGGACTCCATTGTACCCAAACTCTACCCCTAAGAATATGCCAATTGACCATTGTCACTTTTTGAAAACTTTTAACACTGCAACTTGACACTTTGTTTTTTTTTTTGTTTATCCACCCAGGACGTTGAAGGCACCATGTCGTTTCCCCTCCCCAAACCTCAGACCCCTCAGCTTCCTCAACATCTTCTCCGAACCATCGAGTGTCAACAAGGAGCCGTCAGAGCAGTGCGCTTCAACGGTGATAATGGAATCTGCAAAAGATTTAGTTCTGACTTCTGACTACACCAGCATCACGTGCTTCTATTTATGTTTTTTTGGGGCGCTGTTATTTGTGCATCAGTGGATGGCCAGTACGTGATCTCCTGCGGCGGTGACAAGTCTCTGAAACTGTGGAGCGGCAGCCGAGGGACACTGCTCAAGACCTACAGCGGCCACGGATACGAGGTGCTGGACGCCGACGGGTGAGCATGAAAACGTCAAAAGGAAAAATGTGATGTCAAGGCGCAAAATAACTTTCTCAAATTGGGTGAGACATTTCTGACCATTTGACTAATTTTTGAAGGCCTATGGAAAATGTTGTTGTGTAGCTATATAAGCATGGAACCAACCAAAAGAAAGCTTCAGTTTCTATCAACCGTTCACGAACGTTGAACTTTATCTCACCACCTCACTGCTTTCTCACGCCACCTTGCCAATCACGCACTTTAAAACACCCAACACACTCGCCTGTGGACCAAGAGTTGTCAAAACCACTCCTGCCATCTTGTTGTGACTAACATACTGGAATCACTGACAGACTTGATACTTACTGAGGAGCTGTGCAAAGCCCTTGATTTATTTATTTTTCTTTTTACATTTTGGCACTTACTGATAGGGTTTTTGCAAATGTATTTTTACCTTTTTTCATGAAATGAGTTGAAAGGTGAGCCAGACTTCTGCTTTATATGCCCCTCTTGGTCATTTTTTCAATGTCTCTTGGACACGACTGCGTCTTCTTCCATTTCATCGCACCCTGCGCTACAGTGACAATAAAGCGATTCAGATTCTACGCTGCCTTTTATTGTGCGTGCAGGTCATTTGACAACAGCAACATTTGCTCGTGCAGTTCCGACAAGACGGTGATCCTGTGGGACGTGGCCACGGGTCAGGTGGCTCGCAAACTTCGAGGACACGCCGCGGTCTGTCTGCGCCTCTCTTCCCTCTTCTTCTCTTGGTCTCCTTTCACATTGGTTTTCATCATTTTCTTCCACGCAGAAAGTCAACTGTGTGCAGTTCAACGAAGAGGCCACGGTCATCCTGTCGGGTAGGCTTTAAAAAAAAAAACAACCAAGGGTTCTGTTGTGTTGAAAGAATGCTGTTTAAATGGAGCTTCCCATCTGGTCCAGGCTCCTTGGATGGGACGGTGCGCTGCTGGGACACCAGGTCCCGCAAGAATGAGCCTATCCAAGTTCTGGATGAGGCCCGAGACAGCGTCAGTAGTCTGAAGGTGTCCAAATACGAACTGCTTACCGGGTTGGTCCCCTTACCCCACTCACTTTTATTTGGAACGCAGTTTGGTAAATGATAATATGATTATTGATTGCGTTTAGGTCTGTGGATGGCCGAGTAAGACGTTATGACCTGAGGATGGGGGACCTCCACGTGGACTTCCTCAACAGTCAGACAGCTTTGTTGTTGTCGTGTTGTTGTTTTGTTGCTTCTTGTGTCAGTGTGTGTGTGTGGTTTTGTTTTTGGTCCAGGTCCTATCACCTGTGTATGCTTCAGTCAGGATGGCCAGTGCACGCTCAGCTCCAGCCTGGACTCCACAGTTAGACTACTGGATAAGAGTACGGGAGAAATGCTGGGAGAGTGAGTGGCGGCCATCTTCGAAAGAGTCTCACTGAGGTCGGCTCTCTCTCGAGTTGTACGTTTGTGCGCCAGGTACACGGGACACAAGATGAAGGGATACAAGCTGGAATGCTGTCTGTCCTGCAAAGACACTCACGTCCTAAGCTGCTCCGAGGACGGACACGTCTACTTCTGGGACCTGGTAGAGGTTTGTAACAAAACCGTAGCTATTTAGAAACATTAGAACTTGACAAATGTGACACTGTCGGTGCTTCTTTTGAGGTTTTTAAGCATGTCGTAAAGGTGAGACATCCGTGCTACGCAATACGCATGCTAGTAAGCACAAAATGGCCAGTGAAAATGTGAAGGATAGTGCGTCAGCCAGTAAACATCCTAATAAACAAACAGCATCAGCCAAGACACATGCAAATTCATGTACAAAACCACAAAGATTGTATTTTTCAACAAACCATGTTTAGTCAATGAAGATGCTTAACAGCAATCGTTAGCTATTAGCTAATGGGCACAGTTGACTAGAAAAGGGACCGCTTTAGCGAACGTGCTAATCAACATCGTGTACATTAGCAAGTGGAGAGAGACATGGACACACCGGGGCAGGTGAACATGCCAATCATCAGATTTGAAAGGGAACATGTTCGTTAACAGCTGCCGCTGTTGTGAAAGCGCTATATAAATCAGCTTGTATTGTAACATGTTAGCAGTGAACATGCTAAAAAAAACACCAAGTTAAAATGCTAATCTAAACAGCATGTTAGCTAGTGCACATGCTTGGCAACATGCCATTTTTTTCCTCATACAGTGCACATGTTCATATCAGCAAGTTACCCGGTAAACTTGTCACCTGTGGACCTTAATACTCTGTTCATATGTATGTATGTGTGTGTGTGTGTGTAACAGGGTTGTTTGTCATTGAAGCTTCCTGTGGGCAAAGCGGTGGTCCAGTCTTTGTCCTTTCATCCTACACAGCCACGACTCCTTACAGCCAGCGAGGGCCGCGTGCAATTTTGGGCGGCCGAGCCAGAAGATCCCGACGGGGACGACAACGCCATTACAACGTGATTGACATCTTCAACACATCTGGATATTTGCATTGATGGTCGTAAGATAGAATTACTGGTACTGCGAAAATGAACCACAACGAGCCTCATGGACTTTTCATGTTAGCCAGACGCTCAAATGCAATCTTTAGCTAGTGAAAACAAGGATAAACATTCCATGTTCGTTAGTGAACGCAAAAATAAAGGTTGCTTGAAAGTACAACCTCCTGTGAGGGGACGTCTTTTTGGTGTGTCTGCTTAATTGCTCCAAAAGTTCCAATGCAGTTTTATTTAATAAATGGTTCATCTAAATTGTGAGCGGCGACGTCAACGCCGCTGACAGGTCCTGAGGTGGCTCACCCAGCAGCGATGTGTCCTGCAAGAGATGGACCAACTCCACCGGCCCGGGGGGCTTTTGCGTCTCTGCCAACTTCTCTTTTGCCATCTTGTCACTGCATCCACTCAACCGGGACGGCAGTGACCTCTTGGGCCGCGCCATCTTCTTCCGCTGCGGGTCGTGTACGACTCCGTGCCGCAGCAGACTCTGCTTCATGGCGAAGGTCCGGCTGCATCCCGGGTGGTCGCAGGCGAAAGGTCGCAGCCCGTCGTGAAAGGACCGCAAGTGGCTCTGCAGGTTGAAGGTGGTGGTGAAGGAGCGGTCGCAGTCGTCGCGCGGGCACCGGTACACCAGCCGCGTGTCGGCGTGGACGCGCTGATGCTGCTCCAGGAACCAGGAGTCCCGAAAAGCCTTGCCGCATTCCTGACATAACACTTGCGTTTGGTGCTGCTCCTTGCGGTGCCTCACGAACTCTGTCCAGGTGGAACCTCTGAAGGTGCAGCCCGAGTGGTTGCAGGGATAGCCTTGGTGAACCTTGCACAAGATACTTGTGTTAATATCAGACCTCGGAATGCAGTGAACCGTTCGAATATTGTTGGCGCGGCAAGGAATACTTAAAAAAAAAAGTGTCAATATGTTTAAATGTGTTTAAAACATGGAGAATGATTAAACAACAGTGAACCCCAAACCACCAGGTCTTGTGCTCGTGCCACCTTGGTTCTAAGGTACTATTTTGAAGCGAGTTGTGGCGCTTCATTTCATTAAGATTGATATCCTTTATTTGTCCCACACTGGGGAAATTTACAATCTACAGCAGTAAAATTGGGGAGTAGAAAGAAGAAAAAACAAAGTGTCTGCATGCACAAAATAAATGTTTCAGAAGAGAGCTGTACACAGTTCAATATATAGATATATATAAGCGTATACAGTATGCAACTGGTACAAGGTGGCTGTGCTATTTACAATTGTTACTGGTTTTTCACGGATTTTATTTCGTGCCAAGAAACAACGGTAAATGCTTTATCTCCATTTTGTGAGATCTTGGTGCCAATGAAGTACTATGAAGTGAGCCATGGATTCTTATTTTTGGTTCGATTTTCGCCACCATCTTGGTGCCAAGGAACTATGTTGAAATGAGCTTAATAGTTTCATTTAGCTCGAGGTGGTAGCCTGCCACCGTCTTGTGGCCTTCCATATGAAATCATTCCCTTTTAGGACAGACAGCAACAACTCATGAATTAGCCCACGAATCACTATTTAAAATAAATTCTCTCGACATCGCCGACTGCGGTTTTCCGGCCGCGAAAAGCGGGGGTCCGCTGTACCCATTTTGTTCCGTCTCACCACTGACCTTGAGGTGTCGCTTGAGGCGGCTCGGGAAGTTGAAGCGCATGGCGCAGCCGTCGTGCGGGCAGGCGTAGGCAGGTAAGTGAGTGTGGCGTTCGCTCACGTGCGCCTTGAGCTGCCGGTGCTTCTTGAAAAGTGCACCGCAGCCGTCCGCCGTGCACGCGTAGCGCTTGCTCTCTGGCGTGGCGGCGTGCACGCGGCCAAAGTGTCGCGCGCGGCTCGCGTTGGTCCTGAAGGCTTCCTTGCAATTTTCCGCCGAGCACTGGAAGGGACGCAGGCCGCTGTGGGTGAGCTGGTGGCGGGCCAAGTGGTACGGGGTGCAGAAGGACTTCGCGCAGCCGTCTTGCGGACACGCGTGTGGCCTAATGCCGGTGTGCGAGCACAGGTGGGCGTCCAGCTTCCACTGCTTGTCGTAGGCCGCCGCGCACGGCGGGAATGAGCAGATGAAGCGCTTGTGCGGCAGCGCGTCTCCCTCCATCGTAAAGCCCTCGAAGCCTTACCTTTGCGCAGACCACAGCAGCGTTCTTCTGCTGCTGTCACATGTTGTCAAGCTGGACGCCATATCTTCCCACAATCCTCTGTTGTTAGGTGTGACGTCAGATCCTAAAAAAATAAAAATTACCAAGCAGAAATGTTTTGTGAGGGAGAGGCCATCCATGTTAAACATATCTACAATCAAATCAAGTCCCTAATGATCTCGGTAATTTTATCGACACACTACCTACTACCCTAACTAAACCCTAAAAAGTTTGGGCGCGGCTCCGTAGCACGCCCGCGACAGTCGTGAGGATAACCGGTTTCGATTACATAAAGAATGGATCGAAGAAATGTACACTACTATTTTGCGTAAACTCGTTAGTTGCGACAATTAACGTCAACTTACGGCGACTGGAAGTCTACGAATGTGTTATTATACAGCATGACTACAACTAAAAGTTACATCTATATTTTAACGATCACCAAAATCACGTCCATAGAAGCCACCAAAGCGTACTCTATTTGTTGAGAGCGCACGAATGTCCTGTTTTGAAAACGCGCTGAATTTCTAAAGTACACACAGCAGTTTACAGCGTCGTCAAAACAACATCCTGAAATTATTATTATATTTAAAATGAAATCTTGTCTGTGATCAGTTGTAATAAATCACCACATCATATATCAAGTTAAACCATGTAAAGCGCAAGGATTTCACCGTTTCGGGTGTTCACATTTGCGACAATGTACAATTTACGGCAAACACCGTTTCCACAAAACGTTCGCATTTGTAGACGATTGGCATGTACTTTAGTGGATTTGAACGTACTCGTAATATGAAAAGTATCTCCACGCCAGTAAAGCTGTCCGTTTTTGTTTTAACTGGGACACTTCGTGCCATTTGGAGAACGTCGTTTGCTTAAGATAGCTAAAGCTAGTTAGCGGCTAAACTCTCCAGTAATACACAAAATCTCCGGGGAATACTTGTCGTCGCCAGCCTGTGCAACATTTGTAAGTATTTGAAGTTGTTATTAAGCTTAAGCCTTAAAGTTACACACAAACGAGTTACACAAGTCGGCGTGGGGCTGGGAAACAAGATCGCATTTGGGTCACAATCACGTCGAGACATTCGTTAGCATCTTGGCTCACTGCTCGCTGGGTTGATGTTACATGCCAGCCAAAAGTTTCGTTTGTTTTGCACTATGTTTAAATAACACTGTTGTTTCCGTCATACACTACACATCTAATCAAGATAAGCATTTAATGCCGTCGTTACATTATTCTATTTTGAGTTACCGAGCTGCCACGTAATAATGGTCAAATATTACCATATCACAGCTATACCCAAATTGGAAAACACTAAGTAGTCACCCAATAATTGCATTAAACCTGTTCCCGTAATCTTATTAACCCTTTCATACTCAAATAATGATAACCTGTAACCTGCTATATAAATCAGTATTGTATTGATAAAATGATAAGCTGTCCACTGTAGTAAGATGAGAAGAAACCTTTATTGGTCTCGCAATGGAGAAATTCCCAATTCACAGCAGCAAAGTTATGAAAGGAAGAAGTAGAACAGCAAAATACCGCTGTCCCTAAAAGGCATACGTTAATTTTGGGTTCGTTGTCCTGAGAGGTGCATGCCAGAGTTCACTATTAATCACATGTATTTTATTCTTTAGCTCCAAACATAGAGTGACTCTGTGACCTGTGCAGAGGTCTCGTCGCCAAGATGGTGAGTTGAGCATCACACAACAGTCAAGCATTGTTGTTATCCAACACAACAAACTCTTATGTTGTCTTTCAGGGAGAACGAAAAGGAACAAACAAGTACTATCCACCGGACTTCGATCCGGCTAAGGTGTGTAAGATGGTCGTGTTTTGTTTTTTTAATTTTATTTTTTTCTCCCTAGTGTAATATGTGTCTGAGGGTCATTTGTTTGTTTCTTGTCACCAGCATGGCTCTCTCAATGGCTACCACAAAACACACGCCCTGCGAGAGCGGGCCCGGAAGCTGTCCCAAGGCATCCTCATCATCAGGTTCGTACACAAATGAAGGCATATTTTAACAATAAACGATCATGCATTGTTATTGCCAAAAGACAATTCTGGCAATATTAAGACTTTATTCTCATGATAGTGTGGCGTTATCCTTGTGAAGTAATATTTTCTTTCCTTTGAAATAAATAAAATGTTACATTGTATTCTTTTATCATTATAAAAGTAGGATTCTTTTTTCTTGAAAAGGTATGCACCTATTTTGGGATTTTGTGTGTGCACAGGTTTGAAATGCCATACAACATTTGGTGTGACGGCTGCAAGAACCACATTGGCATGGGTACGTATTGTACGACATTCCTTTTTTTTTTGTTTGTTTTTTTTGTTTTCCAATATGTGCCCTCTCGTCATTCTCACAGTTCATTGTTTTTGTCGCTCAGGCGTCCGGTACAATGCGGAGAAGAAGAAAGTGGGCAACTATTTCACCACGCCAATATACAGGTGAGGGCAAATGAGGAGTGCGGGCGGTGTGGGCCGCAATTGGAACCGAAATTTCAATCCGGCTTCTTGGCAGGTTCCGTATGAAATGCCACCTGTGTGTCAACTACATCGAGATGCAGACGGATCCGGCCGCCTGCGACTACGTCATCGTCAGCGGCGCCAGCAGGAAGGAGGAGCGATGGGACATGGCCGAAAATGAGCAGATACTCACCACCGGTATTTGAGTGCCACTTTTCATGACGCACTTGTTGTGAGCGTGTGGAGGGAATACTGGTGCGAGGAGGGAACGCAGGAAGGAGGGACAACAGAGAGCTGAGAGGATAGAAAGATGGACAAGGGAAGATGGAAGGAGGAAGGAAAAATGGTAAGAAAGAGGAAACTAAACACACTGAAGAGGTAAGGAGGGAAAAGGGAAGGAAGGAAAAAAAGACAGAAGGAAGGCAAGATAACAAGAGCCAAGAAAGAAAAGTAGGACAAAAAAGAGACATGGAACCCAAGAAAGGCAAGACTGAAAGATGGACAGCATAAGACAATCAGGGAGGGAGGGAATAATGGACAGAAAAATGCAAAAATGGAGCCATGGAAGAAAAAAAAAATGGGGAATCACAATGTGGCTGTCACAAAGGTGCAAATGAAGAAAGCAAAGAAGGACATGACAAAGTGAGGTCGTGAACATCAATGTGTGTGTGTGTGTGTGTGTGTGTGTGTGTGTGTGTGTGTGTGTGTGTGTGTGTGTGTGTGTGTGTGTGTGTGTGTCCGCCAGAGCGAGAAGAGAAGGAGAAGCTGGAGACAGACGCCATGTTCAAGCTGGACCACGGCGGGAAGGACAAGGAGAAGCTCAACAAGGCTCTGCCTTCACTCTTGGAGCTGCAGGACCACCAGGCCGCATGGAAGGACGATTTCCAGCTCAACAGCGCCTTGCGCAGGAAGTTCAGGGTAAGAACCGCCTCCGGTTCATCAAGCAGAATTCGGTTGCGAAGCTCTGGAGCAGAATTCCTGTGTTGGATGTGTGGCTTTAAGGGGCGGGGCTATTTTGACGATCAATTCATCCTTTCGAGTCCTCGACGTACTTGAAACGGTCCAAATCCTTGCCTCTCAAAAGTAAATATCCTCAGATTTCTGTAGTCCCTCCATGGAAACATACTGATGATTTTTTTGCCGATTCAAAAGCAAACATTTGCAAACTTGGGCTTTCACTTTAGAAAGCAGTCATGAATATTTTCACCCATATTCTGACCAAACTAGTCATTCACTCGTAATCGGTTTACTTGAGGAGCAATGATGATCAAATTATCGATAAATAAAACAGCAGATTTTTTTTTCTTAATACGAGCATTCTCCGATCAAATTGATCGATAATTTGATCATCGATTAATAGTTTAGAGACATTGTTTGGCTTAAAAATTGCCCATTCATTCATATTTCTGCCTCTCAGCAGTAAATATTACCATGCGATGCCAAATGTAGGCATGCTCATCAGAAGCTCGCTTGTCAAATTTTGGTGCGCAACTCAAAGCAAAAAAAAAAAAGTGGAGCAAGTGACAGGCTCGTGTCAGGAAAGTTGGACTACGAGTGTATTGCTACGCTTCAGATTGAAAAGAAGGAGAAGGTGGAGAAGGAAGAGAAGGACGACGCGGTGAGGGCGAGGACCAACCTGAGCATTCCGCTGCTGCCTGAACGCGAGCAGGACAAGAGGCTTGCCGCGCTGCTCAGCTACCAGACGCCAGACTGTGAGTTTTCCCAAATATTCACAGGAAGTTGCACGGAGCCCTTTTACCAGAGCTCCTTCAATGTCAAATCCGAAATCCAGTCCAATTGCTACCAGATTGAAAACCTTGTCAAGTCGACAGACTGGCAATGCTCCTTCGCCAAACGGTACGATTCGCTTTATTGCGTGATTCGGAACAGTGTAAGGACCGAGGCCTCTTGCAGACAACAAAAATACTTGAGAAAGTGCCGAGAGATGCCACAACATGGCTGCGATAGGCCAGGCTATGGCTTCACGAAGTGAGGGCAACAAGAGGCCACAAGATGGCGCTAAAGCAATAAAACAGCAGATTTTAGTGTTTTTTTTTTTGTTTTGTTTGTTTTTCCCAATGTGCATTCTCCTAATATAATGGCTTTCTCCTATTTTTTTTTTTTGTTTTAAGCCCCGTTCTTCTAACTTAAAGGTCAGCTGTGAAGTAAATTTGGCCAACCATCTTTTGAGTAATACTTGGGGCTAAAACTGTTTCAAGCATACTTGCGTTTTTTTTTTTTGTTTGTTTTTTTTTTAACGCAACCTACCCAGTTTCAAACTTATTTTAGCAACGTATGTCACAACAAAAGTGCTTTGCTTCGGCAATCTCCAGCGAGTGACGTCATTGACAGAATGCTGAGTCGCCACTCGGCCATTGTTCTGCATCTTTGACTGCCCCGAAAAATCACTCTTTGCCATTGTTATCGAGTTAATCGGCGAAATGCTGCGTGGCGATGCATTGCTCACATTCGGGCCAACAGTTGTTGGAGTGGCCAAAAGAAAAGAACGAGGCACGCTAACGGAACGAACGATACAGTTTGGTTCCCGCAAAGCATATGAATTTCACTCCGGTGTCGACGAGCATTCTTTGTTTCGAGCACTTCGAAGACCTCGGTTTTCTCAACTGGATTTGCAAAATAAATAAATAAAAATAAAAAACGGAAGGTGGGCTGATCAATGAATAAAGTAGGGTCGAACCTCGTTTCCATGTACCCTGTTTACGTTTTCGCCCCTGTAACAGTCACTTTTCAAAGTCCTGATGTGACGTCATTCATTTTCCATTTGCCGATTTCGTTACGGTGAACACCTGAAAAATGGAAACTCCACAATAACGGACAGATTTTTCCCACAAAATGCCGAAAAGGCCCTCGTCACAACGGAGCGTTTTTGTTTCATTTTTGAGCCGTACCTCTGTGTGGTCCCACTCAGCATACGAGGACAGGCAACGCAGCAAACGGCAGGAGATCTCCTCACGCTCGTGGTTTGGCACCACCTCCACCGCAACCACCCCCGGCGGGCTGCTCCACAAGCTGGGCCTGCAGGGCAAAGAGGCGGCCGTGGCCAAAGCGCTGGGCCCCTCGCGGACCCCCCTGATCTGCAGGAAGTCGGACACGCAGGAGTCGGCGCCGGAAGTCGAAACTATCGAGCGGGACGCAAGTTCCAGCTCCTTGGTGCCCAACTACAGCGACTCGGACTCGGACCACGGCAAGTGAACCGCGCCGACTTATTTCGGGACGCCTTTCCGACAGGCTGCGGGAATTCCCTAGCGTTCCCTTGGTCGTGACGCCTCAGTGCAAACAGGACGGCCTGATAACTTTTGCTCCCATTGCCTTTTAATGGGGGGGTGACTTCCAGGAAGCTGAAATGGACCACCGTGTACTATTTAAAAAAAAAAAAACAACTTACAGGAAATGACACGTGACAAATTGATGTTATTGGCATTGGATGCGGTGTATCTAATCGAGTGTCCACCAGGCAACCATGTAAAATAAACGTCAGAAAATTAATTGCCACGTGACAGTCTTCAGTGTCTTTAGTTCCATAACCCGATTAAAGATTTGAGTAAAATATATAATTTTACATCAAAATATATTGAGTCCCTCCACAAGTTGCAAAAATGTATGAATAAGTGACCCTCTTGTAATTTTATCAACAAAGAAAATACAGTCAAACCTCGGTTTTAGAACGTCTCGGTTCTCAACCAATTCGGTTTTCAACCAAAAATTTCGAGTTTTTTATGCCTCGGATGACGAACAAATTTTGATTCTCAAACAAACTGAGCGCACTTGAATGTACCATTTGACTCCTCTCGCCTTCCTTACACGAGGAAGTGACGCTTCCTCGGGTAGACGAGGAAGTGACACTTCCTCGTGTTGCTTTCCATAGGGAGCAGACGTGTTTAGTAAACATTTTTATTTTAAAAAGAGCGTGGTTTCGGTTTTCGAACAATTTCGGTTTTCGAGCAGCCTTCTGGAACGGATTATGGACAAAAACCGAGGTTTGACTGTACCTAAAAAATGTGAGAAAGCTGGGAATCAACTTTAAAAAAAAAACATGAATCAGCAAGGTTTTCTGGGGGAAAAAAAGAAAAAGTTTTCGCCCCATTATGGTTAATTAATGAATGCCAAATTGCAAGTATATACACTTCAGATTTTTATTTTATTAAATAATTATTTGATTAATTAAAATTTGATTTATTCCCAATTATAAAATGGAGAGATCAATTATCAATTAAAATAGTTATTTTAAAAAATTTGGTGCATTGGTTTCGCTCCTTCCCAGGGACTGGGACTGTATTTTAAGAATGACAATTTCACAATGTAAAATATGTAATAAAAAGGCTATTTAACAGATGTATTTAAAAATATCATTTGCACATGTAAATGCACCCACCCCCCCAAAAAAATGAACGTAACATCAAGTCATAGAACTTGATGTCACCCCCCTTTTTTTTTTTAAACATTTTATTGTCAATGTTTAACCTAACGGCCCGTTTTCATGACAAAGTAAATATTGCCGGTCAAACTGACAATTGAGCTGCAAAAAAGGACATTTTTGTGGCTGTTTTGTTTGTTTTTGTTTTTCTTGTTGTCTTTTCATTTTTCTTTTGATAATACCACGTATGTACCAAAACATCTCCTCGGAATTAAAATTGAGCCCTAAATCAAAAGATTTCCACTTTCAACCGACCCATCCAAATATATGAATGAGAAAATGTATTTTTTATTTTGGGTGCCTTTCAATCTTGTACTTTAAAGGAAAAAAAAAAAATCAATTTACCGATAACCATGAAAGCAAAATGTCCAGCTTGTGCAAACGGAAAAGTCACAATTGTGTAACTGTGTTCAGTACTTTCTGCTGTTATTGTTGAGTCGCGTTGCGTTGTGCTTTCCGTGTTTGGATTTCCAAATAGAAATTAGTCAAAAGCTTTGTTGACTTTTTAAGAGTGTAACCACACAAATAAACACCTCGCTTCTTCATCTCCCCAAATCTTCATCCATACGCAAACTTTTTTCAAATAATAACTTTGACTGCCATTCCGCTGGCCCTTTGATTAACTAAACACCTTACCTCAAATGTCTACATTTTTCTGTCTGAGAAAAAAAAAACTCAGCTCTTATATAACTGAATAAATGTATCATCTTAAATCCATACCTTGTAGAAACACACTTACACACACATTTAATTAAAGACCACTGCAATTGTTCCCCCTTCAAATAAGCAATGCCTTCCCCCCCCCCAAATAAAATTTTTTTAACCCTTCAGATACAAAACTCCAATAGATGTCTGCTTCAAATAAACGTCCCACTCCAAAATAAACGTTTCCTTTCTTACCTCACTGGTAGAAGGCAACAACTTGAACATACAATAACTTATCCCAAATAGACCCCTGCCTCAAATAAATACATGCCTCAACCCAAATAGAGGCCTCCATTTTCCCACCATAAGAAAAAAAAATGCCTCCTCTCAAATAATCATAAATAATATCTGTTCTTTTTGGACTGACCGTCGGGCAAAATCATCCAACCAACGAGCTCATTCTCTGATTCTCCCTGAACTGAGGTCTCAGGCAAAAAACAAACACGATTAGCTCACCACTGGAATCAAAGTCCATCATTTTGTTGACCAAACTTGCCCCATTTCCCGCCTCTTGTGTGGTAATGTGGGTGAGGGGTGGGGGGGGGGCGTCTGGGGTGGCTTTACTAGCCGAGTCCCCAACCTCGTGTGTTCACATTCCACTCAAGTCGCCATGGGTGGACGCAAGTTTCTTCGTTGGACGATCCTCCTCTGCCTCCTGTGCGCCGTCGCCGCACGGGGCAGCTTAAGGTGAGCTAACGCTAATGCTAATGCCAGTGGTGAGCGGTCACGGCCAGCAAAGCTAAAACATTCTCCGACGCGCTGACCTCCTTTTCCAATTTACCTTCTTGCAAAATGTGTTCCATGAAATTGTATTACCGAATTCCTCATTTTATTATTTAGAGTGGGGGAAAAAAATTGTGTAAAATCCGTAACATTTTATACTTTTAATTTGTGAACCAATTATTTGATAAAATGAGTCTAAATTTGTAGATTTGCTGATTTTACTATATTTTTTTAGTTATTTACAATCAATGAACCAATTATTGAGGAAAATAAATAATGTTAAATATATATACTGTACATGATATGATGTAAAGTAGATTAAAAACGTTCATTATTTACAGTGACTAATTAAGTTTGCCATTTTTTTTTAAACGTGGAAAATGATTTCACTCTGCTTTAAAAAAAAAAAAAGAGATTTACCAGTTTAAATAAAATACACGGCTACCTTTAACACGGGGTGACTTTGTTATCGCCCCGAAACGTTTGAGATGATGTCCGTTTGTTCCAACAATCGACGTGGTCGCGGAGGCCCGCCTACCAAATGCACCGCCCGCCCCTGGCCAACACTTGAGTCAATGAGGTGTCCCTGACTAATCTGCCTGTGCACCTTTTGCAGGAAAAAACTATCCAAGTAAGTTTTGACGATGAAAGTATCAGGTGGCAGCGAGGGCACAATTTTGTAACTGTGAATTTCCTGTGCAGGGCTCTCAACCCGCGACGCATCTTACAAAAGCTCGGGTAAGTGACCGCAGTCCTTTGGTCATTTCAATGAAATGAAAAATGGCCCTTGACAGCAAATTGGAAAAACATTGCATCATGCAAATGCAATTGAAAAGACCGGTTGATGGCATCCAATCGACCAACTGTGTCCGACGAAGGCCATATTTGTCCTTGATTGTCATCATGTCACTGGAAGGCCAGGATCTATCAACAGTTTTCTTCAGATGCCACATTTGAAGGTCCCTGATGTTGTACCACGGTGCAAAAGGCTGCCCCAAATATAAGGATTCCGTCAAATGTGGCCTGAAGCAGCTGGATTCCAATGTCCAGCGCTGTGCCGATTCCTTCAAATGCAGGCGCCTTGGAGCCTGTGTCCTTCAAGATCAATGACATCATGAAGCAGCGCAAAGGCCATCCTCTGTGAAATTGTCCTTCAAATGTGACCTCTTCAGGATCATTTTTTTTAAAATGAAGTCCGATGGCACCCCAAAAAGATTGTCTGAAATCCAAGCCCTCATATGCGGGTTTTTAGAGGCCACATTTGAAAGTGAAGACATCATCATGTCAATGCATAAAATTGAATGGAGAAGTGTGTTTTGTGTTCTTTTTTTTTTTTTTGGGAATGCTAACAAGTCAGCTTCCCTTTCAGGTTGTCGAAGTCCACACACGTGGCTGCTCCAAGGTACAGATGAAACAACTACATATACACCCCATACAAACACGCATATTTGGAGGGGGGGGGGGCTGCAATCACGCTCAACTTTTTCCGTTTGCTAAATGCCACATTAATGACGGAATATTTTGGGGGACAGTTAATGGTTACTTTCTTCAAAGTCAGACGTGTTACATGGAGTCAGATTACAGATCCACGAAGGATCTCGACCACTGAGTATGTCTGGATGTCTTTGTTTTTTAGCATTCCACAAACGATAACAGTTCCGGAACCACCCCCAGACCCGGTAGAAGTTCCGAGGTATTTTGTCCATGACAACTCTCAAATCAAAACATTTTGTGTCCTTTCAACGCATCCTTAAAAAGAAAAAACAGAAGTGAATGCAGTGGTGAGAACAGTCGCTGTAGCTACAAGTACTTAGCAATGTACCTTGTGTCAAATAGTTTTCGGGACTCTGACTTTTATTTGCAATAAAGAAACAAGTGCATTTCATCAAATTAATTCCAAGGTAGATTCATATATTTATTTTGCTATTTTATTTCCTGTGAATTAATATATTTTTAAAATATGTAACGAGTTGTGACACATTTTCAAAAGAAAGTAATTGCAAGAAAGTAATATTTTTAATCTAATTATAAAAAAAACATTACCGTTATTTGTGAAATCCTTGTTTATTTTAGTGACTGTAAATCAACTTACCAACCGTTGAATAAAATGAAGAGAAAAAACATGAAATGATTATGTCATGTCATGTTCGTTATGATTTTCTTTTTGTTCTCAAAGAGTTTTTCTATTTTTTTTAAGTCAAAATACTTTTATGCAAAATTGTCTAACTCATATCAGTTGCAAAATTTACACCAAATCAATTGGCTGATCATGTAAAGAGATAAAATGTTTGATTTAAAACAAAAATTTTTATTTTATTTTTTTTAGCTAATTTTAACGGTAAAAATGCAAATGCTGCAATTGATCTCTTTGTCCAACTTCAGGTTCACCCTGGTGGCACCGAACCTGCTGAGAACCGACAGCCCGGAGAATATCTTCCTGCAGGCGGAAGGCATCGCCAGCCCCGTCGAGGTGATCATCAGCGTGACCGACTTCACCAAGACCACCATGCTCTTCACGGGGTCACGCTGTACCCGGGCAACGACTTCCACACGCTCAAGTCTCTCCAGGTGAAGGCGGGCACACGCCTTCCTTGTCACAAATTCGCAAGGATGCATTTGAAGGCAGCTGTTGTCATGGCGAGCGAGCCAATTCAAACGGTCAAAAGTCCCCAAAAAGGTGAACGATGTCGCTTTCCTGCAGATCCCCTCCGGTCTGTTGAATCGAGACGAGATCAAGAACAAGTATGTGATCGTGAAGGTCAAATTTGGAAACTACCACGAGGAGGAGAGGACCGTCATGGTGTCCTTCCACTCGGGCTACATCTTCATCCAGACGGACAAGCCCATTTACAACCCCGGAGATGAGGGTGAAGCCTTTTCTCAAATATTTTACAAGCCTTGGGACACATTCACGGTTGGAAACTATGCAGGGGAACACAAGGGACTCGTCATGGGAAAGTCGAAATATGGTTTGGGAAAATATATTTGGCTAGGATCTAAAAAAGAAAAGGGAAAAGAAAGGGAGAGAGCACACTGGCTCAGTAAAATTGAAGCTAACGTTGCTACTCCTTAGCGCTAATGTTAAAACAAGAAAAAGCAGTGTCCTTGTTGAAAGATACCTTTAAAAAGAATCCAAGTGGTAGGGTAGCGCGAGCAAAAATATAATTAGAAGCATCTGGTCGTAAAAAACAAACTTTTCTCCTCCAAATTTCCTGGAAATGCTTGTCATTGTGGCGCAAATCCACGCCATAGGCTAGCTTTCCGCGGCAGCACACAGAATGACGGGTCGGGGGTTTGC